CAGTGTATTTAGCAGTTTTTTCCATAGCTCTTCAACAGTGCTTTCCTTCTGAGGATACAAAGTGATTTGCAAACATTAATTAATTCTCATAAAGCCCTATGAGGCAGATAAGTGTTAACTATTCCTGTGTTAGTACATATGAGAATCATGAGACCTGAGTGCCTTATGATCCATGATGTTCTCTTTATTCACTCCCAAAAAGGAATATGTGCCTTGGGACAGAGGAAATTCCCTTTTTTTCATCATTCTCTTGTTTTCCTTGGACCCTCTGGAGCCCTCCAAGGTCAGCAGGGATGAGGCTGAGATTCAAGCTACAGCATGAGAAATTGAAGCTACACTGTTCAGCAAAGAGAAGGAGCCATGCTGTATTTGCTGCTGCTTTGTAAGGGAAAGCAAGGCCCTTTATGCAACCTGTGGGTTACTTTGCTCCATGCTCCAGAACTTGGTCTGAAAGGTAAGCTTGGGCTGCCAAGGCAGAAAACACTCCTGAAACTGCAGGCACACTTGCAGATTAGCAAGAGCAACGGAGCCAGACAGCAAGTGGAGGCAGAGGAATTACTTGAAGAAACAGCCCCAGCTGAATTCCCTCTGCCTCACTGAGGAAAACCGAAGTCTTTTGAAAGAATGGTGGTGCCTTGGATGCTCCAATCTTAGTGTTTTCCCACTATGTAGCTTTAGTGAGGTAAGAACTGAATTTGCTAATTAACCTTAGGAATAACTTACAGGATGGCAGCAGGTAATGCTGGAAATGGAGTCTTGGCCTTACTGAGGGCACATGGAAGCTTTATGAGAGACATTAAAGTAGCCAAATTTTCATGCTAACAATATTGGGTAGAGACATTGCTTTCTTGTTTTTGACACAGGCTACACATAAGATCATCCAAATCCTGTTCTGAATGCATTCTGACAAATTTATCTGCAATTGCATGCCTTCCCTTCCCTTGTTACACAGCACATACGTTAGTGTAACAACTTAATTATGATAGTGATCAGACCTTCCAGGCCTTTTTCAGACATGAAAATCAGACTAATTCTCTAGTTTCAGACACAATGAATTCAACTATGTGATGTCAATGCCAACAAAAAGATACCCAAATTAGAGGCATGTTAGGTCTGCACCAGTCAAACTCCTATTGTTATCTTAACAAGTCCATATTCTTCAGGCATTGTTTGTATTTCCATTGTGCCAGGAGATTTTTTTCTTTAGTTTGAGAATGAATGGGGGAGGGAAACCTTGCTATCACTGTAGAGAAGAAACATTTCTTTCTGACATTTTAAGCATTAAGAGGATTATGTAAAGGCGAGGCATGCTACAGAAGGAGATGTTCTTAATATAGCTTTGACCATGAACCTGTGACCCTCTAGAAAATTTAGGAGAGGTAAAAAACCTATTGCTTTGACAATCTTTTAATAATAATAAAAAAATCATCTTGTAAAAAGATCAAGGAATTAATCCACCGTTTTTTACATCAAAGTCAACCTTTCCTGCTTAAAATCATGAATCATTTAATGTTTAATCTGCAGGATATCTGAGACAGATGCCATTAATCCAAGTCATTTCGCAAATTCCAATTTCACTTGGATTAAAACCTACAACTAAGTCGGTGAATAGTATATACTGTACATGCGTTAAGGCTGGTGACTACTTAAGTCTTTTGGGTAGATAAACTAAGCACAGATTAGCCAAGCCTAAATGTATGTCCTCATCTAGGGAAAAAAAAAAAAAAAGATATCCTGACATTTCAGTGATGTAGATTTGAATCAGTAGCCATGAAAAATGGTTGAACATTTGTATTACAAAAGAGATACTATGGCACAGTCCCAAAGGTGCATTTCTTATAAATTAATTAGCTGCACAAATTATTTTGATAACAGTTACTGCACTTCTGAGGTGATATGGCTGCTTAGTGATGAGTACTTGATGATCAGTGGTAGGCACTAGTAATATCCTTCATGCTGTGTGACTTTTATTACTATTTAGATTTACAGTATATACATATGTGTTTGTATCTACATGTAGGGCTTGATCTTAACCTCCTTTACCTAAGGTCCTCTGTTCATTATAATCTCTTCCTTTGGAGCCCTGTGATATTTGGATAAAAGAAAGAGGCAAACAAGGGCTTGGGGTATCCTGCCGTGTGACAGGGAGGACTATGCTTGTTTTTTGGCCACACTTGAACCTCTGCATGTGCTTTGTTCTTTCCTGTCACGCATGCCACCTGGGAATACTATAAAGCATTAAGGCCAAGGGGTCTGTATGATCTTACTGCCTGTGAGTATCCTACAGGCTGCTCTGCGTTTGTTGCATCCATGGTTCCTTTGAATTTGTTCCCATTGCTTTCACCACCCTGACTGGTTCAGAAGCCTCTCTTGGTAGGCAAACTTCTCCCTGCAGGCATAATCCTCTAGTTTTTTATAGAACAATGTCTTAATTTCACAAAATGAACCTGCACATTGCAATAGTGTAAAGAAGCCTGCATGTTCCTGGACTTTTACAAGAGACTAAAACAAGTAAGCCTTTTCCATGGGACTCCAAAGCAGGACGGCTTTTCTGGTCCCACCCAGAACACACAGAGCACCTTCAACTCATGGTGAAGTGCCTGAGACTATTCAGATTCTTAATGTGGAACATATGATTAATTGGACCAGCCCTAAAAACCACATGCACTTTTCCAGACCAGGCCCTAAGAAGATTAAATGAAGTATTGTCACCACACCATGTTCAGCCATCTTAACAGCAGCAACCATATACAGCAAACAGTTTGCACAGAGGAGTATTCTAAATAACCTCACCAAAATGGTAGAACAGTGAGAAACCCTATGGAGAGGAGGCCAAAACCTCTCATCCATTTCTATGTCTTGTTGGTTTAAATGGCTGCTATTTCATCCTATTACACTACCAGAAGTTAAGGCTCAGTGTGCTCATCAGACAACACAGATGATGGCAGCACAAAAACTAAAACCCAGTGTGTTTTGCCATGGAAGCAATGGATATTTTAGCTGGAATAATTCAATATAAGAATAATGTACAAGAAAGGACAATAATCTACAAGAGAACCTTAGTGCTTGGAAATGTTACAACAGGACAGCATTAATTCTTGCATTTCTTTGAAGTTTCTTGACATATTACATCCATACAAAGAGTTCATAATGATTAAGAAAAATATCCCGATCTCTGTAAAATAAACATGCTTTGAAGTTCCATACTTGAAACCCAAATGCCACATGTACAATAAAACTAAACTCCATTTAAGGCAAGTAATATATGTCACTTCCAAAATGTCTCAACATTAAATAGCAGTAAGGGCTTCCAAACCCCCAAACTTATCTGAAGATAAACATCATAGGCACCATCAAAGAAAACAGAAGCTAATCAAATTGGCGTTTCCTGATCTGAGGATAAATCCCATCGTACCTTCATATGGTATTGAAGCAGCTGATAGAATCCATTGCTACCAGTCTAGTAAATTATAGCAGGCTTCTGCAGCCAAAGATCAGGCAAGTAATAAACAGAAAGGCACCCATCAAGTTCTCCACCATCCTTGTGACCAAAAAAACGGTGTTCCTTCTGGAGTGGGTAACAGCCAGAATTAAGAGTGACAGGAGGACTCAGAGGATGTGTATTTTGTCATTTAAAGGCAGCTCTATGTTCACATTTAAAGCCAGTCACACTCTAACACTCACGTTTGTGCCAAGAGGTGACTGCAGCCTGAGCTCAGGACTTCTTTCAGGGATGAAGCATCTGAGCACCAATGGGTACATAAATCCTGGCCCAGGATGGCTTGTGGCTGCACAGTCCCTTGGTTGGTACCCTGCTGAGCTGCTTCAATGAATGGGGTGAATGCTCTGAGTCTGGGCAATAGTTGGAGTTAGGGTAAGCAGCCTCAACAAAAAAATGCAGGTACATGGGGGTCAGCCCGCGATTTACCACAGGGTAGATACAGTCTGTGTTACCAAAGATACTTTACTGAGAAAATGTCCTGCATTGTTTGGTCTCTCTTTTTCAAAATGCACATCCTCAAAAATGGGGGAGGAAAAAAAAGCAGTGAGGACAAATCAATCAGTTGTCGATATCATGGCTACTTCTGCTTGTATCTTCTATTGAGGGAGTGTTTTGTACTCACATTTCCTTAACATATACACAAATTAGATTAGAAAACAATAATCAAAGGGTCCAACCAGTGACTTGGATAAGAACAGCCTTGAAAGTCACCAGAGCTGCTGACTTGAGTAAAGGCTGCAAATCTGATTGCAAAAAATTGACATTTCTGATACAGAAAAAAACCCCAAAACAGATGTGTGAAGACCACTGACAATGAACAAAGATGGACTGAATGCAGGCACAGTTGATATGAACTGGCCTTGACCTCAGCTGACCCAAATTAAACTCCAATTATTGTGGGATTAATTCTTCTGGCATGAAAAACACAGCCTGTCAACAGGAAGGGAAAACATCCCATAAATCAAGGAACGTTAAAGCCTAGTTGAGGATTATGCATGAAGAGTGAGAGGATTATGATAGGAAACAGTTCTTAGCCTGATGAGCAGCAAACTCAGCTTCCCAGATAAAGGAAATTGCATGTGATGCTCCCATACAGCCTAGACGAAAATGCTGCAGGCTTCTGTTAGATGAAAAAGATATGAAAGTCAAAATCTGTGGGATTAAGCCTTCCCATGCAAAGCCAATAGTTGTTATAGATCTCTCTCTGTCTCTCTGTGTATACACGGCTGAAATTAACACATTTTCTTTACTAAGTGGATTGCAGTTTGCCATATTTTTTTCATTTATCTATTTACTGTCAGTAACAGGATGCAATTTTCCACCATCTCTTTTATGTTCTTGTTATCAGCATATCTGTTTGCAGGCTTCTGCTTGATACTGTAGGTTATACTGCTGGTGAGGAGCTGAACAAAAGGTAAAGTTATTTAAAAAGAGAGGAGATAAAGAAATGCATGCAATTTGTTGCAACTGATTGCACATGAAGGAATGCTGTCTTTCTCCAACTTAATGTGGACTACACAACTCCTCCGAGTGCCCCAGTGGGGAAGTAACAGGGAGATGGCACATTGATACTGAAACTTCTGTGATGTGTCCATGCTCATGGTAACAGTTCTCCATGTCTGCTATTTGCCCTCATTCATTCCAGTTCAGGAAAGCCCTTGTGTATGTGCTTAAGCTCTGCTGAAGTCAACGGGATTTCAGTACAAGCTTAAAGTTAAGATTCTATTGAGAGCTTTCCTGAATAGGGATCTGTGCTTATTGCACCTGGTTCAATTAACCCATGAGATTTTGGTTCGTTTTTCAGCACAAGAATAGAAAGGGTATTTTTTGTGCACTAAGATCAGTTCTTTCTAGTGTATGAAAAAGTTTAGAGAGTGGCACAGAACAATTCATTCTGAAGAGACATTGTATATCATACATATGCACAAGCATGTCTTCACTCAGAAAGATTTTGCTCAATATTGAAGAAATATTCACCTTTGTTTGGATCAATGCTGTGGTTGACTATTTCTGTAGCACAGTGTCCAGAATAACTGAATTATCCATGAAGGTATTCTGTCCATGTGAATGGCACACAGTCATTATGACAAGTGAGTGCTATTCCGCACCCAGTGAAGTCCTTGTTGGGTGTACTGAACTAAATGCTCCATACTGCTGTGCAAGGTGATAGGTCCCATCAATGCATCCAAGTCGTTAAAAAAATCTACAGGGAAAAAAAGATTCAGCATCAGAAGAGCAAAGCTGTATTTGCTACTTGTCACCCTTCAGTAGATTTTACTCTTGCAAACTGAGTCAAGCTGAACGTTTCTTGGGAATGAAAGTTTAGTGCTGGTGAGATTAATTTTAAAGCCCTGTGGTTCATGATGCTACAGGCTGATGCACAAAAATTTTCTTTTTAAAGAACAAAACAGTGAGTTCTTTGGCTTTGCCTTTCATTAATTTCCATTGAGTCCTGATAAAGCAAACAAACACTGGGCAAGATTACCCCTGGACAACGGATAATGGATTAAAACTCAAAGAGGAGAGATTTAGGTTAAACATAAGGAAGAAATTCTTTAGTGTGAGGGTGGTGAGACACTGGAACAGGTTGCCCAGGGAAGCTGTGGAAGCCCCATCCTTGGAAGTGTTCAAGGCCAGGTTGGATGAGGTTTTGAGCAACCTGATCTTGTGGGAGGTGTCCCTGCCCAGGCTGGGGGGATGGAACTAGATGATCTTTAAGATCCCTTTCAACCCAAACCATTCTATGATTCTATGATTTATTTTGAGATTAAGGACAAGAAAATCCAAAACCCTACATAGAAATGTCTATCTATACAAATGTTAGATATCTAAGCTACTGTGAGAGACAAGTAGAGGCCTGGACAACATGGTCAGTGCAGCCTAAAGAGCAATTTGGTTAACTAGCCCCTAGGGACTTAATTCAGTGGCCTACTTAGAGGCACGTAGTGCCCATTTGAAAATTTCTCAGGCAATTGATCAGTATACTTTGACCTGGCAGGTTACTGAATACCTTCTTTGCTTCAGTCTTTACTCCTAAGACCATCAGTTGTGAATCCCAGACCCTGGATGTAAGAGAGAAGGCCTGAAGGAAGGATGACTCTCCACTGGTCAATGAGGATTGGGTTGGAGATCAGTTGGGTAAACTGAATATACACAAATCCATGGGCTCCAATGGGATGCACCCATGAGTGCTGAGAGAGCTGGCTGATGTTTTTGCTCTACCATTCTCCATCATTTTTGAAAGATCATGGCAAACAGGAGAGGTGCCTGAGGACTGGAGGAAGGCCAATGTCACTCCAGTCTTCAAAAAGAGCAAGAAGGAAGATCCAGGAAACTACAGACCAGTCAGCCTCACCTCAATCCCAGGATAAATGATGGAGCAGCTCATTCTGGTGGTCATCTCTAAGGACATGGAAGAGAAGAAGGTTATTAGGAGTAGCCAGCATGGATTCACCAAGGGGAAATCATGCTTGGCTAATCTGACAGCCTTCTATATGTTGTAACTGAATGGGTAGATGCAGGGAGACCAATGGATGCAGTCTACCTTGACCTTAGCAAGGCTTTTGACACTGTCTCCCATAACATCCTCATGAGCAAGCTCAGGAAGTGTGGGGTAGAAGAGTGGACAGTGAGATGGATTGAGAACTGGCTAAATAGCAGAGCCAAGAGGGTAGTGATCAATGGTGCAGAATGAAGTTGGAGACCTGTAAGTAGTGCAGTCCCCCAGGGATCAGTGCTGGGTCCATTCCTGCGCGACATCTTCAACAGAGTGGGGACAGTGTCTTCTCAGCAAGTTTGCTGATGGGAGGATTGGCTGATTCACCTGAAGGCTGTGCAGCCATTCAGCGAGATCTGGTAGACTGGAGAGCTGGGCAAAGAGGAACCTAATGAGGTTCAACAAGAGTAAGTGTAGAGTTCTGCACCTGGAGAGGCATAACAACAGGCACCAGTACAGGTTAGGAGCTGACCTGCTAGAAAGCAGCTCTGTGGAGAAGGACCTTGGTGGACATTAAGTTAACCATGGGAGAGCAATGTGCCCTTGTGGCCAAGAAGGCCAATGCCATCCTGGGGTGCATTAAGAAGAGTGTGTTCAGCAAGCTGAGGGAGGTTCTTCTCCGCCTCTACTCTGCCCTAGTGAGACCCCACCTAGAGTGTTGCATCCAGTGCCGGGCTCCCCCGTTCAAGAAGGACAGAGATTTAATTGAGAGGGTCCAATGGAGGGATACAAGGATGATTAAGAGTGGAATACCTGTCTTATGAGGAAGGCCGAGACACCTGGGGCTGTCTAGTCTAGAGAAGAGAAGACTGAGAGGGGATCTTATTAATGTGTACAAATATCTGAAGCGTGGGTGTCAAGAAAGAGGGGACAATCTATTTTCATTTGTGCACTATGATAGGACAAGGGGCAATGGATGCAAGCTAGAACACAGGAAGTTTCACCTCAACATGAGGAAGAACTTCTTTACTGTGAGGGTGATGGAGCACTGGAACAGGCTGTCTAGAGAAGTTGTGGAGTCTCCTTCTCTGGAGACTTTCAGGACCCATCTGGATGCGTTCCTGTGTTACCTGCCCTAGATTCTGTTATAGTCCTGCTCTGGCAGTGGGGTTGGACTCAATGATCTCCAGAGGTCCCTTCTAACCCCTAACTTTCTTTGCTTCTATGATTCCATGCATTGTATGCCTTCCTCCTCTTCAGGGTGAACAGAACAGCTCTCTGAACTCTGCTGTCTGTACTGAACAAAACTCCATGAACTGTAAAGGGAGATTAGTCTCTCAACTCATATATACACACCTACACTCAGGTGTCTTCATTTTAATTTGAATCCTGCTCAGGTCCCTGCCTTATATACATGATTTATCCTGAAAACCAAGGAATGCATTACCATGAAGTCAGATGCTGAGGCATTGCCTTGTGGAAACCAGTTCAGCTGAGAGAAGTTTGGTTTGAAAAGGGAGCAAGGCACCTTGTCCCCATCTGTATCTGCTCAGATGAGGGGAGGGCTGGGGGGCTGTTTATTCCTTATGCAGAAAGGAAGCGTCCTCCTGCTTTTTGACGTGGTCTGGCTAAATGTATCTCATCCAGCTCCACAACTTTGGGAGGCAGGAAGCTGCCTTGTCTTCCACAAACCTTTGTCTCCAGAATTACACAGATGGCAGTGAATGCTACCCACAGCTGTGTCTGTGATCTGTCTATCACCAGTCCTGACCAGCCAAATAAAGGAAACAACTAGATGCTTCTTAGTGAGACAGTTATCAAAATTGCCTCTTTGGGCCATTTTGGAACAGACTAAGAAAAGACTGAATAAAAAAAATCACCTCTGCTGTCCCACTTGGAAGACAGAATTCCTATCAAAAGAGTTACTTTCCTGACCAAAATCATGTGACAGTCTTCTAGAATAGTCCAGTGCCTTGACTCACTCACCTCTGTTTTCCTTGGCCAGGTTGTCAGCCATCTCCCAGTAGTCATAGCTGTGCAGGATGCTGTTGGTGATGCTGACGTGGTTGGCTGCCATCTGATGAATGCGCTGCGGGATGCTGATGATGGGAGATGGGGAAGGGGCCCCTGTGCTCCCCTGGGATCCTACAGAGCTGACTGGAGAAGGGCTAGGGGACATGGGGGATGGAGTGCCTGTGCTCCTGGAAACAGATGGTAATGCAGTTACTTAAAAGGTGTTAGGATTAAAAACATGAGAGTATCAGAACATACTACAGGTAAGAAAAGACAATTTCTGACTGCCAATCTGATGTTTCTGTGAAACCTGTGAACTTACTTTCCATTGGCACCCCAAGGAGATGGGTTCTGGGCAGCTTTTGATGAATTCTGTAAAGGAAAAAAATAATTCACAATGCACATAATTTATATAAGACTACAAAGTGAAGAACATTAAACAGTATAAATGTAAAAAAATGTAAAGAAAAAATGGTGCAGATAGAAGTATTCAAGTCACATGGTGCAATAGACCCTAGTTTGGAGTTGTGATGAAGCAGTTCTGCAGCACAGATTCAAATCACTGTCTATTAAATGTCCTGGGATAGGGAAAATCTGATTAGGAAAGTATGTATATTGAAACTTTTCACAGAAATCCTGGGAGTTTAGAAGTAAGTGCTGCCAAGACTCTGTGATGTTTAGGCTGGACTTCCTTGAGATGGAGAAAACCAGGAGGATTTCCTCCCACCCTTCTGCCCCCAAAGACAAATGACATTCTCCTAGGACCTGAGAGACTGCAAGTCTGCTATGCGTGGCTGACCACAGGGGTGTGGATCTGGGGATTACTCAGCTCAAGTGGCTGTTTTAACCATCAGGGTCAAGAATTTGCTCCTGATTGCTCCCCCTGGGCCTTCTCCCCTTGGTCTGAATATGGCAGCATTCACAAGGCCAGAGAGACTGGCCTTGTAGAATGGTGTTTTTTCTAGCTGAAGGGTTTCCCAGAACCTCCCAGAAGGGGACATTAGACCATTTTATGTGATCTCTTGTATACCTGCAGTCATTAAGACTATGACTGTGCTTAGGCTAAAGAATTTAATTGGCTGAGGAGAGACTACCTTGCACAAGCACTATCTTTACAAAGCAAGAGACATTCAGTTGTCTGCAATAATGGAAAATGAATAACTAAAATTATTCTAGTAGTTAATCTGCAAGAGCTGGTGGGAATTTACAGACAGGTTCCTGCCCATTTGATCTGTGGAAAAACTCCTCCCTTCTCCCAAATGCAGTAACTGATTTAATCCTTAGCCTGCGAGAGACAGATGTAAGAAGCAGAAGTCTAAGAACCAAAACTTTTATAGGTTTTTCCATTTGCAGCCTCCTATTCAGCAAAGGCCAGTCTGATACTTCAGAGGAAAGTGTTCTTCTTGCACCTTCTCCTGAAACCATACATGCAGATAATTGTGGGCTGGAGAACAGCTCTCTCTTCTGACAGCCATGGGAGACCAAGTGAAGTCCTGCAGTTTGAGATCTGTTTATGGATATTGTTTAAATGCAAGGCTGAAGGTGTAGCAAGCTGCAGGAGTTACAAGTATTAACAGCAGTACAAAAACTCTTGGTCTCCCATGGCTTAGGAAGGAGCTTCACAGATTTCAAGGCCAGGAACAACCCTCTTGGACACTCAATTTGCAATTTTCCTTTTCCACCAATCATGGAACTTTTACCAGAAGGTAAATTACTATTTTTATTTTATTTTATTCTATTCTTTTTAAAAAGGATAGTTAATCATAAAGAAATCCTGAGACACAATTTATCCTCCTTGTGCTCCTGCATCCTGCTCTAATGTTTAGCAGGCCTCACAGTTAGAAAAACAGATTCTTTTTCAGGGTTTCAGGATTGAATTTTCTTAACTTTGGTGCTGGCTTTTGGATTTTGTTGGCCCAACACCAACCGAACTGCATGTTGCCTAGTATTACCAGCTCTGTTTCCATACACACAATGATTATATCATCTCCTAACCTGCTCTGCAGTAAGCTGGACACATCTTGTAAGCCTCTATTAAAGAAATTTGATTTCTCAGTTTTAATGTGTCCTTAGAATTGATTCTTGTGTTCCCACATTTCATGCACACACCAACACTGGCTCTTATTTCAGCAGCAATCACATCAGTGCTGTGTTTTCCCTGGCATTCTTCCTGCATTTTGACACTGAGCCTTCTACATCCCAGGTATGTGGTATGAAAAGTAAGTTTTGGAGTGTCCCATAGGGGCTTCTTCCTTCAATGGGTTTCCTTTATTTATTTTTTTTTGGCAGGAAGGGCTAAGGTGTGAAAGGAAAAAAAAAGAAGTCCTCATTTACCATCCTGAATAGAATAAACCTCGTAATCCTCAGCATTTGCTCCTCTTATAGAACAGTGTCTTTTTTTTTTTTTTTTTTCCAGCCACTATTGGGTATCCTTGAATGGAAGCAAGTGTGAAGTTAGAGTGACTAGAGATTCTTTAGTAAATGGTTTAAATTCGCAGGCTGAAAAAGAAGCTTATGCTGGGATTTTGACCAAAAGTTTCACTTCTGAAATTCTCTTCTATTCAAATACCTACTACTGAAAGCTTTTGGTGCTCAACTGCTCAGGTCCTTAAAGATCTGCTTTGACCTGTGCCTATGGACACCTCTGTCAGAGTACTTCGCTCACATAAAAGCACTGTCACAATCCATACACTTAGGTCCATCATTATCTGTCTTTTCTGCTTGCCCAGCTTGACTCCGCAGACATTCTCAAAGCACATTAACTATCATGTATCATTACAATAATCAGGTATCATTGATTCAATTGGCAGCACTGCTCCCTCTGTCAGAAGCTCAACATGACACTGAGGGCACTGTAAAATTGGAGAGTTGTCTGTTTTTTTAAACAAACACCTGCATCCCACTCATGCATGGGAGCTCAAATGTCTGAAGGAATATTTTTCAGACATGGTAGAGGGTGATGTCCTTCCTAAATTTCACTTTGAATAATTACCTTCTGCTAATATAAAATGTCTTATGATTTCATTCAGATAAGAAGTTTGCCACTTTTTCCCTTTTGCTACATGTTTCTACAGAGCTGTTTGATAAAAAAATTGTAAGTACTTTCTCTTAATATCTCTGCAAAGCTTTTACTTCAATTTGTAAGGCCACTTTATTAATGTCAATTATAATTACACTAAATTATAGAAAAATCATCATTATATTTATGCCAAAGATAGTTGGCTAAAAATAAACATCTGAGAGCCTCTGATTTTTTTTTTTAATTTTTTTTTTTTTTTTTTTTTTCTGATCTATTGCAGAACTACTGGCCTTTATCTTTCTAGTGTAATGAAAAGTGAGTACATATTATTTAGTTACAGAGTTGGAGGCATGAATATGTGAAAATTGGAGTTGAAGATACTTCCATTGTAAATTTAACCAGCCTCTGCCTTACTGTAAAAACTTTCCATGCTCTTTTTCTCACCTTTAAGGTATATTATTTTAGCCTCCTCTTAGTTCTGCACCAGAAAGCTGGGAGTAAGGATTCCTAAGAGTGTAATGTTATAAAGGATGATGTCTTATCCCACTTTGCTTGCTGCTGTCCATTCTCCTGGTTTCTTTATGCTTTCAAATGTATCTAGCCTATGAATATCTGTGGCTTGTTTTTAATTATATGCTGCATTAATGTTTTCAATAATGGCAATATAATATTTTAAAGGAGATTTAAATAATTTTATTTTTTTTCTAAAAGACAAGTGTGTCTAATTCTCCCTGCAAATGTGTGTGACAAGGTTTCCTATCTTTCTTTGACTGATAATATGTGTCGAAGTTCTTAATGCAGTCAGCATTTCACATCACTTAGTCTTAAAAGCTTTTAGATACCAAATATGAAATGAGTGGAGAATTGGCTTGTTTTCCACTGAAAATTATAGCAAATGGATTTTTTTCCCCATTTTTACTTTCAAAGTAAGAATACTTTCTAATGCGAAACTATGCTACCATTATATCTGCAGGAGTTGAGAAAAAAAACAAGCTCATCTTGGCTATAGTAGAGTCTAAGTCCATTTTATGTTTGCTGTGAAACAGTTTCTGTCTACTAGTAAGAGACATTTTACATGGTTGAGAGTCTGACCATCCTGTTCTTAATGCAGGTATTCTCTGGGCTGGTAAAGAAAAATAAAGTGCTCTGATAGGCACATATTTCTTTCCTCTGAAATCAAGTAATTGTTAGGGAAACATACCTTGTTGAATTATATATTCCTAAATTTTAAAAAGTAATTACAGTCAATTTAACAATAACAGATCTGTATATTTCCTTTATGGTCTTCATGTGTTCAGAATGAGCATTTATGCTTGTATTTGAGTTTATTAACAATATGTCAAAGAATGGTTGTTTTTCATTTCAAGAAAACCCCAACAGATGACTCCTGTATTCAAAGACAAATGGCTGTTCAGGTCTCCCAAAGCAGTTTGTCTTACAGAACTTGTATGGTTTGTGTTTTTATTATTATTATTTTTCAATCATTATTATTATTTTTAATTAGAAAGAGAAAGGCTAATTTTGTGTTTGTAGATGAAATGCTGGAAGACTGTGTCCTGGTTTGAGCCAGGGTGAAGCAAATTTTCTTTCTGCTGTTTTTTTTTTCCTTCAGTAAGCTTCCTTGTAAGTAGCAACAGTGTGTTCTTCTAAAGCTGATAAGACAGTGGAATGTTTTTCTAACTGTTGGGTCTTCAAGGTCGCACCTTCACTCTGCTGGCTCAGACACTACAGGGAGATCTATGACCCCCCCCGTAGGAGGCTGAGTTACACAGACAGCAAAACTGGCCAGAGATGTTCCATTCCATATATCTACGTAAGCTCAGAGGAAGGTCAGAGATCACAGAAGACAACTTCCTTCCTCCTTCTTCTTCCCTTCTCTTCCATCCATGGCCGGTGTCCAGGCAGGACTCCGTCCATCCATCACCGTCGACCCCCAGGCTCGAGCTCTCGTGACCCTCATCACTCTGTGCTCTCTCCAGCAGCTCCAGGATTTCTTGGGACTGTGCCAGCTCAGGGGAGTGCTGTGGGACTTGCTGGGGGTGAGGGGAGGCGAGAGGCTTTTGCACATACTTGAACATATTTGTATATAATTGTATATATTTTCTTATATAATTCATTAGTGTTTAATTAAAGCTGTGTAGTTTAGTCTTCAATCCAGCCAAGTCTCTCTCTTTTTCTCTCTCTCCCTCCCTACCTGGGTGGGAGGGGGAGTGGATCGAGAACGTTGTTGTCAGACCTGAGTTAAGCAGTGACAGACTGCTATGTGGGCTTCACCTTTGCTCCAGAGAAAGGTTTTCTGTCAAAAAAAATGTACTAAAATACTTTGAATTACTTCCTGTCTTATTCAAAATAACTAGGGTTTGGACCTGGCAGAGTTGAAAATGGAAGCAGCAGCAGGCAAAACAAGGCAGGAAGGGAAGCCAGTAGTGCCACGTCAAGTTCGTGGCAAGTGGTTTGGTTGCCCTCCAATGGTTTTGTAGAACTCCCACTGAAGTCAGCACGGGCTGTTTGCCAGTTCCTTGGGTAAGAACATGTCCCACTGCACTGTCCTACCTAGCGATGCTGCTAAGTGGAAGGCCTGCAGCTGATCTAGATCAAAGTCTTCAACTCACAGGTAGTCTAGTGGGAAGTGTAATCCTGGAGAGGGCTCTTAGAGGAAAACCTGCAAAACCTATTCACAACAGAGCTGGATAGCACTAGACAAACAACTAAGAATAGTCTGAAAATACCTGTTGGTTAGTAAAATTAATTTTTCATCCTTCATAAAGGGACATGATGTGTATATTGCAGGGAAGGGCCCTTGTGAAGACAACAGAACTGACTAGAGATCAGGCATTGACATGGGAGTCTATGATAAAAGTCCTATGGACTTCATAGGGGAATATCCAAGCCTAGGACAACTACTGTTCTAGTAAGAAGCTGTATTTCCCGTAATGACACCCTGATTTTAAAGCGTGTCATGAAGAATGCACCTTGAAATACTCGATAAGCGCTTTTGAATACTTGACTGCGTGGTCCCTCTTGAGTCGAAACATCCTCCAGTACAGCAGGGCCAGGCAGCGGTAACTAGAGCAAAAGGGAGAGCAGAAGGTAAAGCACACCCCCCGAACAGGAATCCCAAGTAGTTATCTTAATTTTTCAAACTAACATAAGCAGAAGGCTGACAGCACCTCACTTGCTGTTCTTATCACCATTTGTTTACAGTACTTCACACTTTGCCGTGGGCTTATGAGCAAGACCAGGTATTACAGCCAGGTCAGGTCACACTGACAAGTGCTACCCGTGAGGTTCTGAACTCAGCAGAGTTTGCAAGCCCTTCACTTTGACTTAGAAGTCTGTACACCTGTACAAAGGCCTCTCCCATGAAAAAGTCATTACAGACCTGGAACCCAACACGTGTTTTTTTCTGTGTGTTCTTTGTTGTAAACGCAAAGGCAGCCTTTGGGGGTATCTTATTCTGGGGTTTTATTACAAAAGCCCAGAGCCTGCATAATGAACTACAGTAATTCTGGGTATATTTTGGGTCTCCTCCAGCAGCTGGAGATAGCTGGGAAACAGGGGAACCTCAGGCCAGCCAAAATTTCACTGGCCAAACTCCTTGATGGGAAACCAGAATGGAGATTTTGTTGGAGCCTGGAGGCTATTCCTAGGCCACCTGCCTGATTGGTCCCCAGAGGAAAACAGCAGTGGGCTGAAAAACTCCATGTGCTGTACTGGAATTGTCTGCCCTCATGCTCCTAGTTAGTCTGCAGAGTGCCACACACCTTCAATGCTATGTAATTAAATTACAGTAATAGCTTTTAACCATAATTATACATCACAATAACTGATGATCAGCATTCAGGACACATGAACTCTTTTCTTCTCTATTGGCTCTAGCTGCACTGGCCTGTTTTCCAAATCAAGACTCACCACCACCTCTTCTAGCAAGCGTTTTCATTGGAAGGGGTGGAAACAAAAAGCTGGTGTGTTTTGCTTTTGCTTTGGCAGCAGAGGCCTTCTTTTTAAGAGCAGTATTTAGTCTCGAAGCAACCTGAAGCACCAGAAGGTGGCTTGACTTCGGAAGCCCAGGGGGCTCCCCCTCTCCCCGCACCGAGGAGCTGCCCAAACCTCAGCAAAACCCCTCGAATCGGCCAACCGCTTTTCAAAAAACCCCAGCCAGGGTTTCTCGGCAGGTTTTCCCCGACAGCAGACGGTGAAATTTCTGCTGTCGGCCGCCGGAGGACAGTCTCTCCTCAGGAGCAGCGCCGGGCTTGGC